TAAGTTTTTAAAGTTTAGTTATTTATTTTTAAAACATAGAACAGTAAATAAAGAAGTATAGAAAATAATTATCTCTTCTAATTTGCTAAGCCTTGTCAAATGTAAAACAAAATAGTTTTTTAAGTTTTATATATGCATTTTGAAATAACAAAAAAATCATAAATAACTATATAAATACCACAGGAATAATTTATCAGGCTTAGTAACTAAGCCATATTTGGGTCTCTAAAAGTATGATATTGAAGAAGATTTTCACTTACCCCTTCCTTTCGAGATATTAAAAGTCTTTCACCTATAAAAGAAATATTATTTTTAGTGAATTATTTTAAATAAAATAGAATAAAGATTTGTCCATTAATATAATGGGGATTTGTTTAGAATAGTCTGTGTGCAAATTAATTTTCATGTTAAAATTAAAAATACTTTTTCTGATCTCAAAAATCTCAAATTTCATTTGTGTAATCCCTAAAACCTCCTAAATGCATTTCAAACATTTTTTTCAGTAAAACGGGATCGGTCAAGTCGACCAACCTTGTAACAACCAAAAAAAAATCTAAATAAACCTAAATTACCCTTTTTTTCTTACTAGAATGACTTCAAATTGTAACATGAAACTTCATTCGTTTATTTTAATTAACTCTAACTTTGTAACAGTATACATCTATTTATAGATAGATTTTGTTTTATTGCCCTTTGAACCATGTTTAATTACTATTTGCGCCATTATATGGTGTAAATCTCTTGGTAAACGTGCAGCTCATGTTACGCTACCAAATTAGATTACCCACGAGCTACTCGTGTATATGCCTCGTGAAACATTTTTTTATAATATTATTATTATTTATTTTCCCTAATCTAATCTTAACAAACCTAATTCCCTGGTTTTACATTTTAGTTACTCTTATAATTATACATAAAGAATAAACACAAAAAACAAGAAATAAAATACTTAACCAATCTTCTTTTTTCTTGCTTTCGGTTTTCGAAGAGAGTTAACCCTAATTTTTTATGCTATAGATAGTAATGCACTAAAGAATACAGACTAATAACATGCAAAAAGTAGATAAATTCACTTACCTCTCAAAATTGTCCTAGCTTTCTAACTATGTGACAAGAGCCATTCATCCAAGCTAGTTGTTAAATTTCCCACAGGAATGAATTTTGTACTGTGAGTGAACTTGACAAGACACATCATTATAAAGTGCATCATTTGATAGATAAAATCCTTTACACTCTGTTGGTTATAGGTAATATATAATGAAACGTAACAGAGAACTATCAACGAATTGTGAAAGAAAGGGTGTGGCAGGAGGGGTCTGACTTTCTATTTGATAGTTCCATAACAAATCAAAATTAAAAGCAAAGTAACAAATATACAATGTTAAATCAATATACATTTAAAATCATTTCAAAATAATGACTCCACAAGTTTCGATGTGTCACACATCATCTTGAGGACTGAAGTTGCAAGACATAAATTTAATAATTTAGATTTTCTTAAATATCACGTACCCTGTCCGTAATTTTGCATTGGTGCATAAATATCAGAATAGGTCTAGCTACATTCTTAGACAGATATTCTCCAGACCTTCACATTTATTTATTAATTTATAAACGAGTTGTTACTGATAAAATATATAGCAGTTGAAAGAGGATTTAACCCAAGTATTGTAGATAGAACAGTTAATAAATTCACTAATGTGGCAATAATAGATCAAGGTATCACATTGAAACCAAGTTATGATAAAATTAAAAAGGAATGTTTAGTGTTACCATATATTTTAGGTTTAACTACAGGTTTATTTAAAATTTTTACAAACGACAACTGTTTTGCTCTATATTTCAACTGATAAATAAGATGAAACAAATTTTAGGCAATTGTAAAGATGATGTACAATTAATGGATAAATTTGGAATTGATAAAATTGAATGTGGATGTGGAAGTATCGATATTGGACAAACAAAGCATAATTTAAAATATTGTGTAGCTGAACATAAGAGATGTATAAAAAATGAAAAAACGGAAAATTCTGCTGTAGAAGAACATGCAAGTAAAACCAACATAAGTATAATTCAACCTAAATGTATTACAGGAACTAATACTTGACAATCACTGGAAATAGTGAAATTTAAAAAGGATTATAAATTATTAAATAGAGATGAAGGTCTGGCAAATATATGTCTAAGAATGTAGGTAGACCTGTTCTTATATTTATGCACAAACGCAAAATTACGGACAGGGTACGTGATATTTAAGAAAATCTAAATTGTGAAATTTATATCTTGCAACCTCACTCCTGAAGATGACGTGTGACATGTCGAAACATGTAGTCATTATTTTGAAATTATTTATAATTGTGTTTTGATTTTAACGTGGTATATTTATTATTTTAACTCTGTACACAAGTGCTGATAGAAATAAATAAATATACATATATATATCAAAATTGAAGGCTATAAAAATTATGGTTTGTCTAAGCAATAATGATTTTATAGAGAGTAATTTACATTTAATTTCGTACTTTTTCAAGGGGTGGTGGATAAAATAGGGATGATGACATGCTAAGAGAAAATGGGTCACACTAGTGGAAATTTGGGAATATTTTTTAATATTGCCTTGTAGAATTTAGAACTTAAAACTTGTATATTATTAAAATATGGATTATTATCTAAGGTTTTATGTTATTCTAATTGGTATAACATAAACAAAATGTAGATTAATAAAATTTTGAATGTAAGACACTAAAACCTTGTGTCATGCGCAGTAAAGGATACCTATGGCAATAGGGTTAAAGGGCTTAAGATAAGGTAAACTAAACAATAAATCAACAGTAATGTACTCAGATCACAACTGGCAATAGGGTTAAAGATAAATGAAATAATCTTGGGAACTTTCCACCTTCAAGAGCTTGAGAAAACTATGTGGGGGAAATTCTGAGGTTTTGATTGAGCAAAGTATTTCCAAAAATGGAAGAAGTGGATGGGGTCACTTTTTTGATTTCCTAAATATAGTGATATCTCAGCAAATAGAAAAGATAGGTGGTTCTTATTTTATATTCTAGCTTTTAAATGTCGGTAATTTGAGTTTTTAATTTGTAAGAAATTAGACTTTGTACTTAGACATCACAAACATCTAATTTGAACCAAAGCTGCATTTAGCATACTACGTTACACATAAAAATCAATAATTTGGAATTTTTTAGTATTTTTAAATCAAGAAATGAAATAACATATAATACTAAAACTTGAATTATAATTTAAAATTTGATACCAAACTTATTGGCATTCATTCATAAAACAGTAGTTAGATGAAATTCTGAATGTCGTCTACAAACGTGATCACAAGTTTCTGAAATTTTAAGATGTACTTTTATTTTTTGTTTTAGCTTTTATATTTATTTTAATTTTTCTTACATAATAGTTAAGTTGTATTACAGTTTTTTCTTAAGTAGTCTTCTTCGTTTTGATTTTTACTTGATTTCTATCGCCATTATGCATGATATATTGTCTGTTTTAACCTTTTTTTGTTAAGTAAGCATCTCTAAAATAATTATTAACATTTTTTGTTAATGATGATAAGCTTTCAAATTCAAATTACAATTCTTCAAGAAATAGATAACATTTTTTTGTACACCTGTGCCTATGTTTGCAAAGAACTTGTTTCAACATGTACAGTATTTTGTGAATTTCATTATGTTTAAATGATTTTGCTATGCAGGCCATGTGTACACTGCTATTGGAGACTACCCCAATGCCTTAGCCAGCCACAAACAGTGTGTCCAGTTGGTTAGGCAAATGGCTGACCGTCTGCAGGAAGCTCGAGAGATTGGTAATGTGGGGGCTGTCTATCTAGCTATGGGTGACTTTGACCAAGCTGTGGAATGCCACCTAGAGCATCTCCGTTTAGCCAAGCAGTTGATTAACAAGGTGGAAGAAGCTAGAGCATACAGTAACTTAGGCTCTTCACACCACTACAGACGCAATTTTGAGCAAGCTATAACCTTTCATAATCATGTCCTGAGAATAGCTCAAGAGCTAGGAGACAAAGCAATAGAGGCAAGAGCATATGCTGGACTGGGCCATGCAGCTCGATGCATGGGTGATCATCAGCAAGCAAAGATGTGGCATGAGAAACAACTGGATATGGCTCTTAGTACCAAGGTTAGTAATACTGATGCTGCAAAAAGGTAGTTCAGGATAGTAACATAACATGTGTACAACAAGGAACCTTTTGGTTCTCCAAGGTTGTCATTTTAAACTCACCCCCCAAGAAAAAGAAAATTAAAAATTAACATATACTTTATATTTAAGGAACTCGTTAATTTCCTTATTAAACTCTTCTAAGGTGCTGACCTGCAGTACTGTTAATGACTACTCATTCTATAAGCTATTTACCCTGTTAGAAAAATAAAAATTATTTTAACTTTGTCTTTCCCAAATCTTTAACTTGTCTTATTATCTTTGTAATTCACCAGAAAGAAATCAAAGCCTTTATCTCATCAATAAATTATATAGTCACCTCTTACTCTTCTTTCTTTCATTCAAGAGAAAATAAATTGAAAGATGTCAGTCTATCTTGTCGGACAACTCTTCCATTTCATTAATTGCTCTAATAGTTCTCTTCTGAACATCTACTAAGTTAATGTCCTTTCTTAGATAAGGAGACCAAAACAGTTTAAAAATATTTAAAACTCTTTTAGTTTTATGTACCCAATCTGTATTCTTTAAGCTCTGTGTATGAGATGTGAGTGAGGTGTTATAAGCAGCCTTTGTGGCAAATGAATGACTTTTGTTAAGAAGTTGTGGGTTTTCAGAGCTGTATATGATTTTGTAAAACTGTATATTTCACTTCCACTAACTTTCAGATGTTCTTTTCCATGTTTATATTTGTTTGTTAAGATGTAAAAATATTTTAAAACAATTGGGAATATTTACTTCAATAAAATATAAGTTTAGCTTTCTGTTTTCAAAAGAAAACTATCACTTTTTATGGGTGATTATTGTTTTTGTTTTTTTTTATAATTTCACGAAGTGTTTTATTTATTATGGAAAGTCAGTAATATATATATATTTTAAGTAGATTATTATTTCTGATGGTTTATTTTAACTTGACTTTGAAAATCAACTTCTTAATCAATGTTCACAATAAAATGTGAGCCAGCAAGGTCAACTGGGTAGCTGTGTTTGATAGTTTGACAGTTTTCATTTCAATCTTTGCAATCTATTGATTTGTGGTGAAATTTTAGCAAGTAAAAAAAAAAATACTTTGAATTAAACTTTTTATATTAAATATGATTGTAATTTTAGATCCAATTTCAGACATTCTTAGTTTTTAACTTGGAGATACACTAGTTTTAATAATTTTAACTGATCTGAAAAAATATTAAAATCATTGAGTAAAGCATTTAGTGCGATAAAGTCATTTTAACTATTACCCAGTAAATGAAACTTTCTCTGACTTCATATTACTAATTTTTGTCAGGACAAAGTGTCTGAAGGAAGAGCATGCTCTAACCTTGGAATTGTGTATCAGCTACTTGGTGATTTCGATGCTGCTCTCAAGCTCCATCAAGCCCATCTAAACATTGCTCGTACACTTGGCGACCGAGCAGGGATGGGTCGTGCTTTTGGGAACATTGGTAATGCCTACAGTGCACTAGGAAGTTATGAACAAGCTATAAAGTTTCATAAGCAAGAGCTGACAATATCTAAAGAAGTTAATGATCGAAGTGCGGAAGCTTCAACTCATGGTAACTTGGCTGTTGCTTATCAAGCTCTCAGTATGCATGAAATGGCTCTTCTTCACTATCAAAGCCACTTGAACATTGCTCGAGAACTTAAGGACAGTGCTGGAGAAGCCTGTGCTCTTTGTAATCTTGGTAACTGTCACAGCTCCCGTGGTGAATTCCAGCAAGCAGTACCTTACTATGAGAGTTACTTACGGTTATCCCAGGAGATTCAGGATATTGAAGGAGAAGCTAAAGCATGCCATTTCCTTGGTTATGCTCATTATTGCCTTGGTAATTTTAAGGTTAGTATAGTTTATAGTACTTTAACTCTGTGTCACAGAAAAAAAACTTAACAGCTTAAATTCTGAATATTTATGTACTAAAACCCGTTGTAAAATGGTGCTTTTAGTAAAGTTTGTGGATTCATTATGGTGCAAAAATCATCTTTTGTATAGGTTTTAAAGGTGACAGGGCTTTTGTAATGAAAATGTTTGAAGAAAATGATGATTGAAATGCCATTAACAAATAAATTTCCAATACATTTCCAGGAAGCAAAGCCATATTTTAGTTTTGAAATAATTTTGCACCTATTAAGAATAATTATAAAGAAAATAGAGTATACAAATGTGTTGAAAATTTACAATAACAAAGAACGGATCTGGAAATAGTTTCTGATTTGCTAATTGTGTTTGAACATTATGATGAAGTTTGTTTAGTAGTCTGAATTTTTATCAACTACAAACTAAAATAAAAATTGTATTATTTATAAATAAATGTCCAGTTAACAATCACAAGTCATCCCATGTCTTAGTTGAAACAAATGTATTATACTCTGACAAAGTAGATTGAATTATGGACATCGTGAAATATATATATAAAGAAAACTTCAATTTTTAGAGATAATGTGATTTCAGTTGTTATTTCAGGAAAGACTAAGTGAACTTTATCATACTTGCTTTGAGATACTCACTGGAATGTAAATTGTACTAGAATACAAAAAATATAGGAATTAGTGCTGAATTACTGCACTAAAAGAAGGAAATACATTCCGAGATGATTATTCACATGTGAACAAAGTCTTTGCCTGTTCTTTGGCAACATTATTTGTGCTTTCATATATACTCATACATAATGATATGATTATTCTGTATCAATGTTTGAAAAAAAAAAAAAAAGTACTATGTATAATTGACAAAACACTTATGATCAGAAATGTTTTTGGCTTAATAAGAATGAATTAATTTCCTGTTAATTGTAAATGTAAAACTGTTTCACTTGCTCATAAGTCTTGAGAGATATTTTAGATGTTGGTGTCACTTGACATTTAGCTATCAAATTTCACAGTTGATTTATACATTTGAGTAGTTACATTCATGATGATGATGAAGATCAGTGAATAAAAATATTTACTCTTTTAACACTTGCTACAGGCATCTGTTTGTACACATGTCATAAGGTTTTTAGTGAGATACATTCAAAACTTAACTACTTTCTTGTCATGGTGTACGAAAGAATTTAGTATAAAAATGTAGCTAATAATCCATATGTTACTATATTAGTTTTAAATTCTTAATTTTATAATGCAATATTTAAAAAATCCTGAATTTCCCCTAGTATGAGAATTCTGAAATTTTCTCTCTAGGCATCCTGTCCTCTTGAATTTAATGTAGATTTCTCATTATAATGTTACCATCACTTAGAAAAAGCAAAATTTTTATAGTTTTCAATATTATTTACTTACAAAGCCATAAAATAAAAATCAGACCCCTTTTGCCATGCCTACCTGTCACATCCTCTCTTTCAGAAATTGCCAATTCTCTCTGACATTTAATACTGTATTATTTATAACCAATAGAAAACTAAGCTTGTCATTCATCAAATGACATAAAATACCACATTTCTTTCTGTACAGAGAATGATTTATTTCACTTGCAGTTCTAACTTTATTCCCACGGGAAACACATCGACGAGCTTAGCTGAATTTTAATGGCTCTCGTCACGTAGTTAGAAAGCCAGAAAAATTGTGATAGTTATGGGACATTGTCTACTTTTTGCATGTTATTATTCTGTGTTATTTAATGCATTATTTAATTGAATAAAAAATTATTTAATGTAGTAGTACCATTAGCATAAAAAGTAGGGTTGTCACCAAAGTAAACGGCAAAAAAAAATAAAAATACTTCATTAAAAATTATTTAATTTTTTGTTTACAAGTGGCTTTTAATGATTACTGAAAACTTGCAAAATTTTGTAGACATACATAAAACATATCACAGGTTTTAGCATGGAAATCATAAAGGTCAATTTGGAGTCACAAATTCGGCTGATTTGACCCAGCCCATAGCAAGAGAGTTAATGGCTTGGGAATTGCATCTTGAAAGGTTAAGAAGAAGTCTGTTCTGTTGTTGCTCTTTAAATATATTGATAGCTTTAGTACCAGTTTGGCCTAAAAAACAATGATCTTATGACAATTTAGGAAGTCAGTTGCTTAGTGGTCCCCCAAATAAAAATGCTGGTCTAGAAAGTTTTATATTTTGAGTGTAATACATTATTATAATATTGATATCCTTGCTGTCTATGAGCTACCCTTTCAAGTAGAAACTGATCTCGTGCTCGACTCTCATAAAATGAAAATAAATCTTTAGTCAACTTAAATATTAAAATGTATCTTCGTGTCAAGTCTAGGTAGTTCAGTTATTTAAATTTCATATCTCTCTTCTCTAAAATGTTCTTTCAATAATTTTAAGAGTATTTAAATTAAATATTCTCTAGGAAGCCATTCGTTACTATGAAAGAGATCTAGCATTAGCCAAGGATCTACAGGATAAGATGAGCATGGGCAGAGCCTACTGTAACCTTGGACTTTCTCATTTGGCTCTTGGAAACAATCAAGCTGCTTTAGAGTGTCAAAAGTACTTTCTTGCCATTGCCCAGCTGATGAAACATGTACAGGTATTGTGTAAAAGATTACATGTTAAAATTTAATTTTTTTTTCAGTTGTGGAAGAAAAGTTCTTTTGACCATCATGTGTGGTGATACAATTTTTTCATACAAAAAACATCAACAAAACAGATATGAAGCTTGTGCAGTTTATTTTCCTCTGAAAAAGGAATTACTGCTTGACTTTTTATTATTATCATAGCATTTTTACTTTATCTACTAAGAATTACAGCTATAATAACTATCATAAGTAATACCAATAGTAATTAAGAACTCCTGTTTTTAGTTATATTTTCAAACTAGCCACATTGGCAGTACTGTTTATCTCTTTCAATACATTATGGATGCACTTGTTAATGATACTTAGTAAGAAATTTCCTGGCAACACCATTTTCCTTTGGATTTAAATAAATACCGTCATGGCCACATTTACAGCATGGGTTTTCTCTTGTTTTTACTCTTGTAGCAGTCACAGTACAGTATCAGTTTCCTTCAGATATTACAAAACAAAGTTTCACAGCATGTACGTGAAACTTATATAACATAGCATACTTCTATGGAAGACAAATTGACAGACTTTACCACCAGCTGTTAATAAATCTTATCACACCCATATTAGCAGCACCAGAATCCTTCAAATAACTCTTGTCACAAACATCTTATAACACCAATATCCTTCAGGTATTCACTTCTGTCTCAGTCATGTTAATACCTCCAGTTTCACTAGTTCTTAACTCTTATCATAGCTATTTTCCCTGTTGCAGCTATGTTATCAATAATAACTCCTGTCAAAATCACTTTAATTCATTTTAAAGTGGAAAACAGCATAGTGGGCTATCTTCAAACCCCAGATTTTAGTATTATAAGCACCCAAGTTTACCACTGGGCCTACAGAGTACACTCAATTTAGGAGCACCATTTTCCATGTGCTGTTAACTTCTTCAGTGTAAAGTTAACAGCATCATTTTCTCATAAGCTCATGTAATTACCACATTAGCATTTCTAATTTTTTCCAATTCTTAACTGCTCTCATTGTAAAGTTAGCGACACTAGTTCATTCAGTTATTATTAACTCTTTTTCACAGCTATGTTCTGTTACAACTACTTTAGTATCTTCAGTTACAGAATCGTGGAAAACCTTCATTAGGCAGCAGCGGTACTGTTAGAATTGTTTGGTTGCCAACTTATGCCTTTCCTTGATCAAACTTGTATATTGTGAAAGAAACCTAAGGTGTTTACTTTTCTTCTGTGCTATGTCAAGACTTATTCTCCACTATTGTTGAAATAACTCGAGGCAGAACGTGAAATAAAATTTGAAAAGTAGCCTGAACCAGTTCATTCAAAACAGAGCTCATGAAAAGGTGCATTTTGTTTACAAACAAAGGTTGAATCATGTCTTGACATACACTGTTGGACATTAGTCAGTAAATGCATGTGAAGCTAGATCTGGATTTCAGGAACATTATGAGGTTATCTGTACGAAAGATCAAGAATTTTAAACATGCCCAAAAACTAGTTGGTGTATTATCTCACTGTAAACTGCATTTAGTCAGAGTATGTTGATAGATATTATGTGGAAGTACTATGATCTTTCTAGCTTGTTGTATGACTGATGTTTATATTATTTATATTTGTCCAGTGGTGAAAGTAACTTAAATTTCTTATCGGTACTATTGTACCCCCTCCTCTGTGCCACAAACACATTTTTATGAAACCTTTTGAATAACAATAGTACTTAAAGCTACTACCACTGCCAGAAATTTGAATGGGATCAAAGACTGACACTAACCTTTTAAAGAAAGTCCCACGTTGTCCTGTAGATCTGTGTCAGGGTTTTGAATATGAGAGGGCTGGGATTCTTTTACAGTAGATGTTTGTGACTTTTTGGCCATAAATTCAAATAATAAACATACAGTACACAATCTAATTGTTTTAAAATAATATATTCAAAACAAGTCAAATGTATGTACCAAAACACGTTTCACTATTTGTCACCAAAGTTGTATCTAAAGCTTTAAACAATTCTTTTTTTGTCAAAAGTCCACACAGGCTGGTTGTGCTACTTTAGAATCCAACTGACAAAATGAGTTATTCCTTCTCTCCTCTTTTATCACAATACAAGAGTCATAAATTCACTTACATTATGGCTAAACTAACAATCATGGATTCTAACTTCCCCTTGTTACGTATTGGAGTTTCAAATGGTCTAAAATTGAGTTAAATGATACTATTTAAATTTAGTAGTTAAATTGTACTTTAGATTTAGTATTTAAATAAATGCCAATATATAGTCAGTTTATGATATATGCCAAGAAGATTGATACACACAACAGTACAATTTACAATAACAATTATTACAAATAGTTACTACAAACAGTGATTTATAAACAGAAGTTTCACAAACTTAAAGGAATTGTTTCTTTTTTATCTGGAACTTCCTCGATATCTTATTGAGGGTTCACGATGAGCGAGTTGATTATGAGTTGACGCAGATATATTTCACTTAACGGGAAGCTAGCTAGCTTTGTCTTTCACTGATCACGTGCCGATATTTCCACCAATGACGTTAGGTAACGTTTTTTTAAAAATACTAATGTCCGATGAGAATCCATTGAAGTTAAATAGTTTGTAATGTTTGAACTTTGTAAATGCTCCTGGTCAAATATCTGAAGTTTTCCGATTGGTAAGTGTTATAAGAATCACAGTTATAGCTTCCAAAGTTTAAGCACACTGACTATAGCGAACTAATAATAGACACTCTATTTTGGCATGTTGGTTATATTTATAGGGTGGGAAGGTTTCTAGAAAA